CAGTAACACTTAATCAGTATATTATGACTCGACCATGCAAGCATGGTCACTCTGTGTAACTGATTCATTTTAACATCTAATATAATGTTCTATCTCCAACCGAAATGTGTTTTTCAGATGTGCTGATCATCTTATTACTGGCTACCACAGTAGGACGAGTCAGTATAAATAATGATGTGACTTCCATGTAAGGTCTGATAAACTGGGTAGTCACATCATGAAAAATCTAAAATTGTGGAACAGAACTATCATTCTAGTAACGAAGATAAATGCACTTTATACCGACCTATAACATAATTCCGTATTAGTGAAATCGACTGAAGAAGCGTACCCTGTTATTATCATATTCACTTTAGCTTTATCGATTGATTCTTACTGATGTTAACCCATTATTCCATTAGTCTGTTGACTTGTAACGCCCAAGTTTTTGCTCGTTCCCTTTATTGAAGTACGGTATGTCGATCTATTTGCAATTCACGAACCCAAATTAACAATAGAACCAAATTCCAATTTAGATACCAAAGTTTATTCGCGGTTTACAAATAGTCGACCCAAATGTCGTTCTAACAACAATAATTATAACAGTTACAAAACAAACCTTCAATTTTGTAGGTTCCCGGAGCAAAAACTCCCAAATACCAAACCAGTGACAAAGAGAAGCCAAAATGTCCGAAAGGAATGATATAAACAAACAAGTTCAGACGTTAAGTAAAACAAATACACCCAAAAACACAGTAAAATTATTGATGTACAATAAAAAGGTTTTAATTAGCCAAATGTCTACAGTTTTCCCGTAACGGATTAATGCTCACGTCTTTTGTCCTATTTTATCGTCGATTAGTATTCATAGTCAGCGTGATAGCCCGATCAATACTAATAACTGATTAGTTGTAGTTATTATTAGTTATTATGCTTTATTAACAAGTTTTGGTAGTGTTTATATGCCCCAGTGAAATAGGTTCGTTCAAACATCAGTCACTCGGAAATATGGTCTCTGTGATTAATAAAATGATAATCTCCCAAAAAATCCCATTTTTTCTGAACACTGAAGATGGAATAAATATTTCTTGACCATTAATAAACAGCACTCGTTAATTGTATTTCAAATTTTCCATCATTTCTTTCATGCCTTCTTTTTATGTACCAATGTATTACTTATTTATATTCAGTAGTTCATGTTATGTTCGATCATTTATAGAGATAGGATGTTTTATTTCACAATTGATTGATCACTGGGTGGTGATCAATGTCATGCTTGTCTAGTCCTTATTAGTGCAGATCGAATGCTATCGATCATGTTGCAATGTGGCCACCAGTCTAGGTGACTCGACACTGTGGGCACTATGTATAGAGATTTAGATGGTGGTTGGAGGTAGTCAACAGGAAACCCTGGACCCGGGTTTCGTGCTACTTGGCACTCGTCAGCAAGGTGTACCTGTAATCTTGAGGGAACTGGTGCTCCTTGGCGGATTCGATCTCGTGTCACCCAGCTTCACAGTCAGAGACGTTACCACTGAGCTATCCGAGCCGTGACTAACCTCCTGTAGGACTGAGATGTAATCACAATTGATTGATCACTGGGTGGTGATCAATGTCATGCTTGTCTAGTCCTTATTTTTATTTATTTATTGTAACTGCGACTATTTTCAAACCTCTGTCTATTTAAGATTTATGGCAATTGATTTATTTCATTAACTGCTAGCACTTGTTTCACAGCTATGCTGTCCTTTAGTTTGTAGATACCTTTTCTTTGTGTTTGTGCCCTTAATGAAATTATCAACGCTAAGATATCTATATATTCTGTGTTTCCAAAGCGTACTACTAGTGTTACTTTCTGTAACAGCACCACATTCCAGACCAATCTCATCTTTTTATTTCCAGATTTAACAAGTTACACAATTACTAGGCTAGAATCACCGAAATGATTTTATGGTACCTAACACATTAAAATATACTACCTAGAGACAATCCAATTGTTGTCAATGTAGAAACAGATTCTCTATAGCTTTTACAGGTAAATGGTCAAATACTACGCCCTGATTTTAGTGAAACTACTTTGCTTATTAATTTAAATTTAAATTTAATTGAACTGAAGAGAGAAGACTATGATATAAAAGAATTGAATAAAAACAACATATCTCGGTGACTGACTTCAAACTAAACACTGGTAAGACGAGGAATCGACTACAGACAAAAAGTAGATAAATTGAGAATAATAATTAATTAATCAAACACATTTACAATAAGGTTTTCTATTGGCTGGATAATTTTAATGGAATTATTTTTTGTATCTTGTTGCTACGAGAGTTTAAAAATATATAACTCCCATTATTTTTCTGAAGATGATCTTCATTAGTTGTTGAAAATTCATTCAAAACTGTTAAGTAGTATCCAGTTTTTTTTGTCCTGAGTTGGAACTCTTCAACAAAACATATCCGTTGCATTACACTCTGTCTGATCTAAGACTCTTAAGCCTCATAACAAAAATTAAGCTAGAATCGAACTTCAGTTAACTTTTTGTTTCAGTACAATCCCCGTTCAGCATCACTGATGAGTTACTGTGCCACTTCTAACTTGACTGTATCAGTCATAACTCCCTACTAGAACTTCAATAACTGTATCTTGAATTTATGAGCTAGTGACCGTTCCATTTCCACTAAGCTTGGTAATGTTGTCAAGTCAAATATTTACTTCTCATTCACCTGTTATTTTTAACAGCCAACGAGACAAAATGTAATACTGAAGTTATCGTCTGTTATGTCTTCCCGTAATCTCAATCATGACTTATACTATTTACGTAGTCTCACATAATCAGACAATTCGTTTCCACAAAATATTTAATATAGTCTTTAAGGTATTAGTGAGGATTCTTTGTGAAATTTCAACTTATTATTAGTTTACCAGATTGTAGTTTATTTGGATGAACCGGTTTTAATAAGACAAAAAATTCAAAGGTGCTAAGCTGATTTGCTATGAAAGCAAGTCACATTTCTGATCGAATGTTTACCTATGCCACTATTATGTCTAATATGGTTTCAGACACTTCCTCCAAGGGCCCAAGACCGTCTGAAATAGTAAAAATATTCTCATTTTTCTGTACTTAAATTAACCTTGGAGTGTAACGTTCTTTTCACATTTAACGTCTTTTCTCTTGTGTTCAAGTTACCGTGTAGGTTCAACCTAGGGTTATTAGAAGCGCCCAGAAAATCTGTTCGAGCTTTTGGTTAGAAGGCTTATCACCTAGGTTTCTCACTAGAATTCTGAAAGTTATTTCCCCTAATTAGTCACCAGTGGATATTTTATAGCCGTAATATACCCGTGTAATACATAGTAAATTATACGAATTTTTTATTAATTCAGAGGAGAACAAAATGTATGTATATTTCCCCATCATAATTCATTATTCTCAAAATATTTGATAGAATTTTTGCGCTTTGAATTGTTAATATGAAAAAACTGTTGAGTTTGAATTTGTTAAAGTAATAAGAGAATGAACGACATGTGATTAATCACAAATAAATGGGTCAAAATGTGAGTTTTGTTCGGATGAGATCGGTTCGAATTGGGGTTTATCGTTTATGCCACTGTGATCTATCAGGTTTGTTCCCGGTCGAATTCGATAGTGATTAATTATTCACATTTCTAAAAATTTTTACATTTGGGAAGTTTTACAATGAATCGCTGTTCTTTAAGTTTCACAATCCTGGTGTTGGGGTTGTAACACTGCTCTCAGTTTCATGCATTTATTTACTTTGGTAAACTTTCTTGATTTACAAAATACTAATTATTTCTCATATTTTTGACTTGGTGTTTTTCTCATCAAATCTCCTCGCTCTGTGCTCATCAGCTTTATAGTTGACAAAGTTGCTTATAGTGTCTAGTATTATGTTAAGCCCACTTGGCTTATTCTAGCTTCTTGACAGACCAGTTTATTAATTCTTCTTAAGTCACATTCTGAACGTGTCAATCACTGACTTATTAACCCTGACTACTTTTATATGAGCGTGTGTGTGTGTGTGTATCGTTTACCCTATTCATTACATGTTCGTAGCTTATTTTTTGTCTCGATATAAGTATTGAGTCACGCTTTCTCAAAGCGAATTGGTCCACTTGCCTTCACCGTTTCACTCTCCCACTTTTCATTCTAAATGTCTGTTAAATAAACGAGTTCATTAAGTAAATTCATCCAACATAACCTGTGTTTGGCTTCTCGTTACTCCCATCACAAAAACGGGGTTAGCTTAGCTGATATACGGAGTTAAATGGAAGATCTATGTTCATCCAAAATGGAGTCAAATCAATGGGCCACTAAACGCTCTTTTCTTATTGGTTAGTGCAATACTGTCAAACCATACACAACCAACTTTCATCACATAAGGAAAATCAATATTGCTTTCATCCGCAATCTATGTATGACGTTCCCTGAACATCGCAAACGACGTTATTTTGTTTTATTAGTAATTTGTAGTATTTAAGATTCAGTCAACGAGATGTTCGGCATTTTCAATTCATAACATGGATCGACACAACTTTAATATTTTATACACTGTAACAAGATAATAACTTTTGATTTGCAACTATGACGCCTGATGAAGAAGCCTTCAAAAACGATCGTTCCCTCTAATACTCTATTCGATCCTACTTGGTGAGCGTAAAATGTATCCGAATTCTACCAATTTACTTCATTTCCAACTTTCAATGATTGATAGGCATTTATTTGGTTTTTCCAGTTCTCTTTGTTAATTCCAATCTTTGTAAACATACAGATTGAACAATTTGTCTAGTTCAATATTTAGTTGTATAACACTACTTCATGGGGTAGTTTAGTTATAATGAATTTTATGAATTAGTTTTATCACTTGTTATTAGATAATAATCAGATTTTTTCAGACTGCATGTTACTCTCACTAATGCTTGAGACATCTAAAGCAAACATCTATTTGGAAATATTTTTCCTCGCGTTTTTTAGCCATAAATCATAAGTGAACGTTAGACTATGTGAGATATGTTAGGTGGTTTGTAGCAGATAGATGACTCACCCCTTATACATACGAAGCATATATATATACACACACATATCGTTAAACTTTTCCTCTACCCTCTTGCCATTACCAGACCAACGGAATACAACCGATTCATGATGAAAAAAATTTATCCAACTAAATAAAGGTTAAATTGTCTAGCTCCCTATTCTTTATTCTTTCCCCAATCATCGATAGTCACGCGCATTAGCACACGTACACAATCCACATACTAATCGTAGTCATAATGTCTATGTTAGGCTCTCTAAATCAGATCATATTTATCTACTGTTTTCAGGAATTTAGGCATATGCCGTGTAGATGGAAGTAACGCTCTAACCAGTGTCAACTGATAGTAAGTTTATTTCTGTTATATTTTTTTCTAAATATACAGACTATGTCACTCCAAGGTTAACGGTCTTAGCATATTCCTTTGTAAATGGATTGATTTACTTAAAGTTTGTTCCCAAACTATAAAAAAAATATTCCCCTAACCCGACCATAAATTCAAAGAAATTAACGTACCTATACTTAGGAATATAGATACCTTTAAAACTTTCTCTACAAGTTTCATTCCTCCTCCATTTCCTTAAAAAAATGATGATTAAAGTATTAACTATCAAATATGACCTAATGAAACTGTTGGCAACTACAGTGTTTAGTAATTCGTTGAATAAATTTTATTATTTGGTAAATTATAGATGTTTGTAAGTTCTCAAGTGTTCAGCATTTAGATAACTTCACTTCAATGTTTCCTACTGTTTGAATACATTTCGTATCAGTGAAATGTCACTTTGTAATAAAATTTCAAATATTATAAAGTAGTTAATTTTAATGGAGTTTTGTTCTCTGAGCTGGATGGTTTGAACCAAAACCCCATCAAAATCATCCACCTGAGCTACAAATCTTCTTCACCATCTCAAAGTAGCTAATTGAAATACCTTTAACTTTACCATGAATTAGTCAAGCTTAGATTAAGATTTCTAATATTATTAGCATTATAACAGGAATGTGTTTTAGTTATATAAAACCATGTTCATTTCGAAGAGTTGAAACTTTCAACTTATCTGTATCCTTCCCTACTGTATTCTTACTATAATAACGATAGATGAGCTATTAATTTCATCAATGCCAACTTATAATTTAAATAACTTACCTTGCAACTATAAAACCATAATACCATGATTGTAATTCTTGTTAAACCTTTACTAAGTATTAGTAATGTGATTAAGTTTAATTTACATTACTCGATGTTTTAAAAAAATTCTGTTCTGTAAAAAGAAACTGTTCAACTATAGATTGTCGTTTTATTCATCCTTTTTTTAATTACAAACCTCGTCTGTTAATCATATTCTTCGACGTGATACTATACTATACATAGATACAACTGCGGATCAAATTTACATATTCTCAACTGCTCATATAGTAGCTAAGTATATCTTTTAGTTTTTTATGTAACGTTTGACAAATTTCAATCTCTGGCTCAAGTTTATACTATAGATTAATGAAGATGACACATGAAATTCGCTGAATGTTTCTCCAAATTTAATAAATCTAAGAAAATAAACATTATCGATTCCAAAAAACTACTCTCTTATATATCTTTATCTGTATGACTGAATTATAATAGATTTCGTGTTAAGTGTTTTTCAGTGTGGGGATTTGTGGAAATTGTAGTATTTTCACAGTTGAATTCACGAGTTGATTTAAGCTAGACAACCACTGAAAACGTAGAAGCACTGGACGGCCGTTTCGTCCTAGTATGGGACTCCTCAGTAGTGCGCATCCACGATCCTGGAACCCGGGGTCCTGTTGCAATGTATTAGAGTTGAGTTGCTGCAAATATCCAACTGTTATATATTTTTATCATATATAGTTTGTTACAAAGGTTGTTACACTTGATAGCAGTTCTTCAAAATCCAGTCTATTATCCAGCAAGTAGTTAAACTATCTAAAATAATACTTCAAATACGGCAATGTCAATAATTCTCTCGTTGAAATTGTCATTTAAGTGTTTTCAATAAGAAGTAAGATATGTTTTAGAAATGTCTTTAGAAATATCATTAGTATTCGGATTGCTCATTTGCAGATTGACTTTTGAAAGCTAAATAGTGTTAAAATGGCTAATAGAAACCGGAATACTGAGACGAAATTAGTAAGCTACTAAGAAATTATTGAGTATAGTTATTTTCCATCTCGTTTCTTTACTTTAAACACTAGTACTAGGTAAAGATGGTAATTTATGTGATAATGTGGGGTAATCTTCATGGACAAAGGTAGTTGGAACATGTATTACGTATGTCTTATCACCGCCTACATAGGTGGGGATGATGGCTATAATATTAGTATATTGGAAGAAGAGTAGAAATGGTCAAACCTGAATGTGACATCAGCCCATGACGTCATTGACGGTTGAACTGGTTCACGTTGGTGGGTGCAGGCTACTTGGTTGGTGTCCTCATGACTATCCTTACCAATGTTTGGAGACGTTAGGTAACAGCTCAGAATTGATCATAATGTCATAGATGCCTTCAATCTTTGTTTTCCTTTAGTTTGTCAGTTTCGAAATTACACTATTTTTCATCCCATAAATTCGTTCTTTCTTCTCGAACCATATTCTTTATGTTTACTATTTTCTACTACCACTGATGTAGTTACTATTCTTATTACTCTGGTGTTTATTTTGATAACTTCATTTCCTATGCTGATATCATCGTGATAGCTTGAATCGATACACGTGTATGCCAAATTCGACGTTACATATGACTGAGTGACTGAGTAGAAGTGATAGAAATTAATTTGACCCCACTTTAGATGTGAATAGAAAAAAGCACTTACGTACTTTGAAGATAAGTCATATTTATTGAAATATTGTATAATTCAATAAATGAAACCATGAAACATAATTGACTACGGTGGCTAGGCCGTGTGATATTTACGTTCTGTAATCACAATCCTAATCAGACTGAGATTTAATTATGTATGGTATGTAGAACCGTTCTATATTAATCTCAGTTGTTTAAAGTAATGCATGTTATCAGGATGATAGTATAGGTGAAAAGTTAAAAGTGGATAATTTTCCATATAGTTGAGTTTGTGGAGAGAGCAGGATTTTCATAGTTAGAATTATGAAGTGGTCTTAGACCAAACTGCTTCCATGTTTTCACTGGTGTTTTAACTGGATAATTCACTGAAAAAAATTGAATTACAGTTGAATAAGGGCTTCAGTTGATTACCTTTACCCATATCTTGAATACGTACTATTGCATTTCATTTAACCTTCTTCACTGTTTTACAACACAATGGTTTGAATACAAAATACATTTATATGTAAGGTTTTATTTTGGTTTATCTATTTGTATCTCTGAATTCTAGTAAGAAAAAACAAGTTACTGTTGTGACCAAGTTACTATTCAGCAGTCCAGTATTTGACAACATTAGTAAATACTCAATAAAGAGTAACAATTATTTTTTCAGATTGTAAGTGTGTAATTTTCTTCATTCTGACCTAACTCAGTTCCTGTTTAAAGTTTTCCACAAGAAATTCACTAATTGCTGTATTCTAATCCCAAGTGTGAAACCTATTAGTATTGTGCCCAATGGAAACAATTTAGGAACTAATCGAGGAACTAATCAAGTGTTTTTAATTCACAATAATGAAAATGCAAATGCACTCAAATTAAATAGTGTGTGATAATACAAAATGTAATGTTATTAGCAGTTTATACTGACAACTCCAAATATAGACTTACCCAACTTGATAAATGTTTCAGTTTTGTAAATCAATGTTTTATTTTTGTAACTTGTAAATACTTTACAAAAATGCTTCATCTTGGTTCAAGAGAGATCGGTTTATCTAAATCAGTCTGAGAGATATTTTCTATGACACAGCTCTGAATGCTTCAGTTTAAATAAACAACAACATAACAAATAATAGTAATAGTCTAGTGTTCATTCATAGCTTGACTTTATATTAGCTTTAGATTTTACATCAACGATTGATCTTTGACAACCAGGAACTACTGGATAGCTGATCTATCCTGTTGCGGGATACCTCATCAGAGCTTATCCATTACCTTATCCGGGATCAGACTCGGAACCATCGTAGCTTGTGGTGAGGCCTTGACTTTCAAACTATCGAGCCGTCATCCGATGGCTTATATTTCCAACGTTAATTAATTCGCGATATTACTCAACCATCTTCCATTGTCTTAGGTGGATGATTACCTCATACTCACGATAGCCAAACCCCGCTGGTCACGGTTTCTCATAGTGATTTCCTAAAGTTCTGGTGAATATCTATATAATGTGGAGCTAGTGAAATCTTAAGTCAATCCGATGTATACTGATGACATTGGATGGGTATCTCAGTATGATCTTAACTATAATTCTTCAGTTTGATATTCTTTACAACTATTATTTAGCGCTAGTGATCAATCTTAGATTAACATTAAACAACTGTCCAATGCTCTTTAGGTTTTTACTGGAAGTTTTACGGAAAATGAAATGATCATAAACGAAACTGACTAACTGATCATATATTCATATTTTAATAACATATATACTGCTTGTTAATGTTATATTCACCATGCTTTTCAATTTCCCATGAAAGTAACTGGAAAAAAACCAATCATTTGTCAATATCTACTAACCTATTGTTCAGCCTTACGTACCGAACAATCACTATGGACCAAATTTACATGTTGATATTAAGCAAATTAGTTTGATATAGTAGTTCACTGCAATTGATAATGAACAAACGAAATTTACCTACAGGCAAAGCTTAGTCACCAATTCTATTTTTAATTTTGATGTCAGATTAGTAAAGTATACATGGAACCCTAACAATCATTATTTTATCTTTTTTTTTGTAAATATTCAGTCAAATCTCTTTCAGGCTTAAAAATATTCATCAACAAGTAAATGCAACAAATAGTATAGAAAAAATGTCAGTGTAAAATGGATTTAATGTCATATATTGAACACATTTTTTTCCCATTCTTCCGGTTATTTTTTTCCTTCAGCTAAATCAACATTTTGGGGTTGTTCACTAGTGATTAATTTTTGTGATTGAAATAAATAACTAGTAAATTATATGATATTGATTTCCCAGTAATAATACAACTAGGTTAGGTCATCTTAAGATTAAACATTATGGCTTTTCAAACATATTGGACCATACAGGATCAAATATAGAGAAAAAAATGTACATATATGTGTATCGGTGTTTGTGTATGTTTGTACAAATCCAAATAAGGATACAAACACATATGTTCTCCTGATAATTATTGTTATAATTAGGTCATCGTTATAATTGTAATTGTAATGATTATGAAAACTGATTATCATTAACTT